AAGATAAATGCAAAAAATGTCCTCGGGTGAGGATAAAAATAAGAAGCTCAACTCTTGCATATATTTATTCCTTAAAAAGAAATTTATAAATATCATATGGTTTATACATTGATGGTTTTATCCAATTATTCTTTTTTTAATTGTGGTAAAATACATGTAAAATTTTGCAACTTAACCATTTTTAAATGTACAATGCAATAGTGTTAAGTACATTCACCAGTCTCCGTAACTCTTTTCATCTGAAACTATACCCTTTAAATAACTCCTTATTCCCCACTCTCCCCAGCCCCTAGCAACCACCATTCTACTTTGTCTCTATGGATTTGATTTTCTAGAAATTTCATATAAGTGGAACATACAGTATTTGTCCTGTTGTAACTTAGCAGAATGTCCTATCAAGTATTATTTCCCAAGCATCTGTAATGCATAAAATCTTTCAGCTTGAGTTAATTGTTTAAAATTACAAACATAAATACTGATACATAGCACAGAAAATAGGAAGAAAGATAAAAACAGCTAAAATTTTTGCAAATTTTGAACCAAAGTATTATACCACCTAAAAATATGTGTTTTGGCCCTGGCCAGTTTTCTCAGTGGTTAGAGCATCGGCCTGCGGTCCAGAGAGACCCAGGTTCGGTTCCCGCTAAGGGCACGTACCTCGGTTGCAGTTTGTCCCTGGCCCTGGTTGGTAGTGCGGGTGGCAGCCATTCGATGTGTCCCTTTCACGTCGATGTTTCTCTCTCTCTCTCTTCCTCTCTCCCCCTCCCACTCCATCTGAACAAAAAAATGGAAAAATGTCCTCGGGTGAGGATAAAAATATATATACATATATATGTGTGTGTGTGTGTGTTTTGCCTATAATTGGAAATTTCAAAAGGAAACTACCTCTGTATTAGCATTCTTACATAAACAGTCCACTGATAACAAAGAAAGAACATAAGAGGGGCAATCCCAAATGAACTCTATTTTGTCATTAATATGCAATCAAATCAGATTTTAAAATTATTTTATTTATTGATTTTTAGAGAGAGAGAAACATAGATTTGTTCCACTCATTTATACATTCATTGGTTGATTCCTGTATGTACCCTAACTAAGGATTGAACCTGTAACCTTGGTGTTTCAGGACGATGCTCTAACCAACTTAGCTATCTGGCCAGGGCTCCAAATTAGCAGATTTTAAATCCTTGGGAAAAGAGGAAACTCGGATGTTACTTAAATCAAATGAACATATAAACATAAACTGTAGCATATTATAATGCATTGATTGTGCTAACCTTTCTTATAGCTAATGAGGTCACAAAGTATCCTTAAAATCAAGGAGTTATAGCTGGCCAGTGTGGCTCATTGGATTGAGCATCCTCCCAAGGACTGAGAGGTCCCAGTTTGATTCCCAGTTAGAGCACATGCCCAGGGTTTCTGGCTCGATTTCCAGTGGGGGGGGGGGGGCAGGAGGCAGCCGATTGATGTGTCTCTCTCACATCGATGTTTCTCTCTCTCTCCCTTCCTCTCTCTAAAAAAATCAATTAAAAAATATTTTTAAAAAATCAAGGAGTTGTATTTTCAGTGTCCATTTCATAGGAATTGTATTTACTTACATCTTCACCTGGACTACATGAGACATTATTTTCCATTTAGAATGCTGAAATGTTTTCACAAGAGAAGTCTAATTTAAAAAAAACAAACTTATTTTATAACAAAGTTCATTTGGAATGGCCTAATGTATTAAGGATTAAAGTTCTGGCAACAGATTACTTTATTATCTGAAACTGGAAAACTCTCCCCAACACTGAAACATGTATACTTGGCAAAGGCAGTCTAAGAAGTTTGCTGGTCTGAGTTGGTCAAGATTCCAGTGGAGGTTTCCAAAATGAGATTAATGTAAGTATTTGTGATTTTATAAAGTTGGCACTTAAATCTGAAGAAACATTGGTGAGTTCTGGAAAGAAAAAAAAAAAAAAAACAATTTCTATTTGAGTTGACATTTATAAACAGACTGGAACAAAAAATTAGAGTTGTTGGTTTTCATTCTCTCTAAAAGTAATGCTTTAAATAGAGAAGTAACCCACTGACTAATCTAGAGTTTTACAACTCAAGTAACAATTAACAGGCTTAAGAAAAAGGCTCATTAATACCTTTAACTTGAAAGGAAAACTTATAACATAGACTGTATAACAAGTTATACATCAATTTCAGCTTCTCCATTTGTGTGATAATGAGAAAATTACTTAACCTCTCAATATCAAATCTACCACCCTTTCTATATCAAATCTAACTACCTTGAAGTAAAGATAATAGTGATGCCTACTTGACTGTTGTGAGGAATGAGATAATACCAGTAAGTTACTTAGTACAGTGTATACTAATTAATGATCTTATTCACTAATAATAAAGCCTTTCCGTCTGGAATTATTTTGGTTTATGAGTGTTTGGCTCTTTTTGTCTTTTTATTTTATTTTAATTTTTTCAATCTTCACCTGAGGATATTTTTTCCATTGATTCTCAGATAGAGTGGGAGGGAGGGAGGGAGGAAGAGGAAGGGAGGGAGAGAGAGAGAGAGAGAGAGAGAGAGAGAGAGAGAAACTTCATGTGAGAAAGACACACTGATTGGCTGCCTCCTGCACCAATAGTGCTGGGGATCAAACCACAACCAAGGTATGTGCCCTTGACCAGAATCAAACCTGAGACTCTCCAGTTTCAGGGCTGAAGCTCTAACCACTGAACCAAACCAGCCAGGACTGCTGCCTTTTTTTTTAGAAATAAACAAATCACTGCCTTCATTTTAGCCAGAAATGCCATCTTCCACTAAGTCACTGAAATGACTAACACAAAGGGAAAGACGAGAGGCACCTGCTTTATATTCTCTAGGCCTTTTAGAAAACATGGAGTTGTTCCCCTGGCCACATACATGCAGATCTACAAGAAAGGTGATATTGTAGACATCAAGGGAATGGCACTGTTCAAAGAGGAATGCCCCAGAAACATCACCATGGCAAAACTGGAAGAGTCTACAATGTCACCCAGCATGCAGTAGGCATTGTTGTGAACAAAGAAGTTAAAGGAAAAATTCTTGCCAAGAGAATTAACATATGTATTGAACATATTAAGCACTCTAAGAGCTGAGATAGCTTCCTGAAACATGTGAAGGAAATGATCAGAAAAAGAAGCAAGCAAAAGAGAAAGGTACTTGGGTTCAACTGAAAAAAAAAAAAAAAAAAGCGCCAGCCTGCTCCATCCAAAGAAGGATACTTTGTGAGAATCAAAATGGAATGGAGCCTGAGCTGCTGAAACCCATTCACTATGAATCTATGGCAGGGTAAGTGTAAAAAAAATACTTCTATACTGTTAAAAACTAAATAAATAAACAAACAAATCCCTGAATGTATTTCATTTTAGAATCCAAGTATCTAAACTGTATAAAGCCAAAGGAGTCAAAATGCTTTGCCCCTATAGATTATTTTTATAATATATATATACATATACACAAACACCTGGAGAGAGAATATATATACATTCTCTTAAAGGAGCACTGAAGAAAACTGTAAGGAAATTGAGTTTGGCTTCCACTTAATATTCAACTGTATTCCATGCTGGGAGTGAAATCAACCAATATGAAAAAAATGAATACCTTCTTGGATAATATGTTGGTATTTTTGAGCAACAAATAGAATAACAATCTCCAAAGTATTGCTCTGCCCCATACCCTTCCCTCTTATCCCCCAAAGAGCAGGTAACTTATGGAACAGAATCAGAAAGACCAGGAAATTGATACTTAGCAATGTATACTATTATGATAGCACTTAACTCACGGAGAAGCAGGGTCACCAATTTTGACATTCACATGGCTTTTTCTACCTTTCTAATTGTCAAGGGGTTGGAGAGTGAAGCAGAATTCATCTTCAATAGCCTTAACCATAAAGTTTATCAAACAGGTTAGCACAAAGGGTCTTGTGATTTAGTAGAAAGCACATGTGATTTAGTACAAATAAGAAAATGTCCAAACTTCAAAATTTTTCCAAGTTTCACTTATACAATTAACTTTCACCTTTAAGTTGATTCGTGTAAAGTACTTGAATACTTGAATAAATGTATTTCAAAATGCAACTGCCCTGGCTGGGTGGCTCGGTTGGTTGGAGCATTGTCCTGTACACCAAAATGTTGCAGGCTCAATTCGCAGTCAGGGCACATATCTATGTTGAGGGTTCGGGTTCAGGGTCGATCACAGATAGAAGTGCATACCAGAGGCAACCAATGATGGATGTTCTCTCTCACATTGATGTTTCTCTCTTTCTCCCTTCCTCTCTCTCTAAACTCAATAAAAAACAAACAAGCAAAAAGCATATCCTTGGGTGAGGATTTAAAAAAAAAGCAACCAACACTATTGTAAATAGAAAAAGCAGTGTTACTTGGCAAAAGAAGTTATCCATTAAAATGACTTTGTTAACACAAATGACATTAAATCCTATTTCGAGGCACTTGTTGGCTACCAAATCGTTAGAGGTGTGAGAGTTCACTAACCCCCAAACTAAGGATATTGTCTTTGTCGTAATCACAAAGATTGAAAAAGAACTGTAAAGAGAATAACTTGCCCACTGGAGAGCTCATCGCTATTCAATGTTGTGTCCCTGTACCACCTAAAGTCATCTTGTTTCAGAAACACTGCAGTCCCACTGCCATCTCCCACCTTTAGAGCTCCAAGAAGGAATGTAATTCCACCCTCTCCCAACTAGGCCTAAATAAAAGAAACTGAGCACACTAGTATTTGGTAGAGTAGGTAAAACCTTACAGCTCAGGGCACTAGGTTTCTAAAACCTACCAAAGTTCCAAATATCTAATCCCTGAAGGAAAAGGCCACTTCACTTCCACTAACTTAATTTTTTTGAACAAAAGGGGCTTAGGAAATGACTAGAGCACAGACGTGGAAATGATCAAGAAATATTATAAGTGAAGATTCCTTGAAAGGCACTTACTTGGCAGAGGCCTGAGCGTCTGGTTCTGTACTAGTGAGGGTGACTGTTCATGGTGGTAAGGGTGGGTGCACTCTCATGGGGCATTGACTGCTGGGCCTCAGTAGCTAGAGCCTGGGACTTGGAGAGTGGGGATACACTGTCAGGAACTTCCTGACTTAGTTCCTGGCCCGATGGTGGCTCCTGGGCATGTGATAACTGGCTGAGAGCAATCTCTTGAACTAAAGCAGTGCTTTTGGGGGCCTGTTGGGTGTCACACGGGGCCTGAAAGTGCTGGGCAGCTGGGGTGACCTTCGGGTCCACAAGTTGGGTCTGAAAAGATGGGGCTGGCAGAAGCTGTATCAGAGAGACCTTGGTGGCCAGAGCCTGGGCTTGAGAAGCCTGAACAGGTGGAAGCTGAGTTTGAGAGGCCAGAGAAAGACTCTGGCAATCGCTCTTTGAGGCCACAGGGATCTGGAGATGCCTCTGTGCAGCCACAGACACTGAGGGCTGGCTCTGAGAGACCACGGGGGCTACAGTCTGGATCTGAGGGGACAGGGTGTCCAGAGGCGGACCTGTAGAGGACAAAGGGACAGCAGGCAGTCTCTTACAGAGAGGCAGAGGCCCGTCCAGAGAAGATGGAGTGAACTGTGATTGCACCAGACCAGCATTGGGGCCTGGGGTGCAAACTCCCTCAGAACTTTTGACAGCTTCCGATTCCGGGCCCAGATCCTCTCTGCCAAACTCTTCAGCATTGCCACGCTTCTCGACACTTTCCACTCCGTCTTTGTCCTGGTCCTCCTTTGCTCGACGTTGTAAGTCGCCTATGAAGGTCTGACTCAGAATAGAAGCAGCCCTTTGGAGAAGCAGCCTCCTGCGGCTGCGGCACTGCCGCCGCTGCATCCGCACCACAGCGGTGGTAACGCTGAGGCTGAGAGGGAGGCGCCGGCTGAGCGTCTGGCTCAGCTCGACCATGGCGGTGGCGGAGGGCATGCGGAAGGGCTTCTTCCCGGCCTCTTCAGGACTCAATTCGATGTTGCCGGTGTACCAGAAGACCCACCAGAGGAGACTGAGGAAGATAGTGATGGGGCCCAGGTAGAGCAGCAGGTCGTAGAAGGGCAGGTCGGCGAAGACGCCAGTGAGCAGAATCATCGCGCCCCCCGTGTCGAAGACGACGCCCAGCCAAAAGAAATCCTGGCAACGGCCCAGGGCCGTCCGCTTCCTGGTCTCCGTGGAGTTTCTCGGGACCTCCATGACCCCCCACTGTCGCCGGCTCCAGGTCGGTAGACGTGACTGGTTGGGCCGCGCAGCCAAAAGGGGGCTGTGGCCGCTGGATCGCCATGGCAACGTCTGGCGGGTGAGCCGTGCAGGGGGCGGGGCCAGAGAGCCGCTGGGCAAGGCCGCCTCTCACCTTCCTGGAGAAAAAAGGTGCCGCCCAGGAGAAGGACGCGTGCGAGGCAGACTCCTCGCCCACGAGGCCGCCTTCTGCGCATGCGCAGTTCTTCCTGTCCTTGCGTCATTCTCCGCGTGCACGCAGGGTGCTGCGTACGGAGAATTTAACTCTCGGGTCCTTCGTCTGTGTCCTCGCCAACATTCCTCTGCTCAGAGTATAGGGTTCCTCTATACGCCCCCAGGCGTTCCAGAACCAGTGCAAGTTCCAGAAGGAGAGCAGAGGGCAAGGACCCTCTTCTAGTAACGTCCCCCTATAAGCCAGTACAGCGTGCCCTCGGTTTTCCTTTCTTTTTGTGAGGAAGTGGCAAGGGTAGGGTTTGTTGTTACCAATTTTATATATTTCCCAGTAGTGCCTGTGGTGTTGCATACTTGTGCCACTTAATAGCAGACCTAGAGGTGAACTCTCCCAAGTGATCCTGCCCTCTCCAATGTCTTCCCTTTTATTGTTACCACTTTTGTTGACCAGTTTGCCTAGACACTTGGGAATGGTTAAAGGATTACCTTTCCCACTATTTCCAATAGAGTAAGACAGGAAAACCGTGTTTGCAAAATAGAAAACTTGCCCTGGGTGGTGTTGTCCAGTGGTTAGAGCTTCTGCCTAGGGCAAGGAAGGAGGGGAGGGAGGGTTCCCTGTCAAGGGCACGTACCTGGGTTGCTGGCTTGATCCCAGGCCTTAGGCGTAGTGCAGTGAGAGTCAACCAATCCATGTGTGTCTCACACCCCTCTTTCTCTTTCCCTCCCTCCCCCTTCCACATTCTCTAAATATCAATGGAAAAAATATCTTTGGGTGAGGATTATCAACAACCAAACAAACCTGGAGCCTAAAAACTAGAATAGCTTAAAAATGAGCTCATTTCAAACGAGAATAGGGTACGGGAAAATTAAAAGTTTAAGACCTGCTATTCATGAAGGTAATAGTGTTAATGAAAAGTCATAGGCCCTTGGTTCTTTAATTCTAAAGGTAGAATTTTTTAAATAACCTTTTTTATTTTAGAATAAACTCAGATTTACAGGAAAGTTGTAAAGATGGTATAAAGAGTTCCTCTATAGCCTCCCAAGTACTCAGTGTCTGCCCTTTGCTTTTTAAAATGCATTACAAAGCTCCTTATTTCTTCTTATAGGTGTTTCTAGAAGTTTAGGAAGCAATGTTTCATGAACTTATTGAACCAATCAGTAAGACTACTGAGCCTTGTTTCCCTTGAAGTATGCTAAGGGGTATGTGATGTCACAAGATAAAATATAGTCCATTTTTCTTAATATTAAGTACTTTAAAACATTAATATTACAAAACAAACATGTATTATGGGATAGAATCTAAAATGAAAAAGCAGAAATTTGGGGCTAAATTTCCAAGGTATAAGTTTATTCCTTATGAGCTCTTCAGGAATATTAGTTAATGTGCCACACGCTACACGAAGTTTCAGCATATTTAAACACAATACATCTTTCAGGAATCTCAGTTTCTTAGTGGTAAGAAACTTGAGAAATTTTCATATGAAATCTTCCCTCTTATTTTCTTATATATTTATATTTTTACTATGTTTTAATATATCAAAATAAGGGGATATTATGGAGTAGAATAGTAAATCCATATACATTTAATATCATAGAAGAAACAGCTTTTCGCTGTATCTCCAGGATAGGAGCTTTCTTTCTCTGTTGAGAAATATTGAGAAATTCCTTCATTTTGTTGGGAAAGTAACAATCCAGCCAACCAAAGACCCATTTATACCACCACTATAATTTATTATTGAGTAAGCATTAGTATTTCTATATGCATGAAAAGTAGCATGAAATCTTTGTGTTACCTTTGTGGTGTCAGGATATGCCTCCTGAGGATGTGCGTATTGATTTGGGGACTGACTTGGTGCCCTCGCAATAGTGAGTTAAAAGCTTTCTTCCTGACTGCTTTGCTGAACCTTCTCTGGAGATATATTTCTCTAAATTTGTAGAGAATTATGCAAGCATTGAACCTTTCATTTTTGGGACTGTTACCATAAGTTTTAGTCTTTCCTTTCTCATATAGTATTTTAGCAAGATTTGTTTTACAAAATATCCATTTATTGGAAGATTTGATGGCTCCAAATCTTAGCATGCTGTCATATTTTTTACACACTCAGGGTTGTTTGTGGGAGAAGTCCTGCTACAAATTTAGAGAAAGGAAAACTCATCCAGTCAGAAAACAAATATACAAAGTATTGGGACTTTCCAGGAAAGTAAGTAGGGGATATAGCCAATGCCACAGTCAAGTCACATTGGTGAAAGAGAAAATGCATTACAAGTACATACACATTCTTATTCATTTAAAAAATTGTTTTTCTTTATTGACTTTAGAAAGGAAGGGAGAGGGAGAGAGAGATAGAAACATCAATGAGAGAGAACATCGATTGTCCACCTCCTGCATGCCCCCTGATAGGGATCGGGCCCACAACCTGGGCATGTGCCCTGACCAGGAATTGAACTGGTGATCTCTTGGTGCATGGGTCGATGCTCAACCACAGAGTCACACTGACCAGGTGCTCTTATTCATTTTTTTAATAGTTAATTTTTCTATAATGTTTAGTTGAAAAAATGTTGGAAAATTGAAAAATAGGTGCATTAAAACTCACAACAGCCCTGGCCGGTTTGGCTCAGCGGTTAGAGCGTCGGCCTGCGGTCCGGAGAGACCCGGGTTCGGTTCCCGCTAAGGGCACGTACTTCGGTTGCAGTTTGTCCCCGGCCCTGGTTGGTCGTTCGGGTGGCAGCCACTCGATGTGTCCCTTCACGTCGATGTTTCTCTCTCTCTTCCTTCCTCTCTCTCCCTCCCACTCTATCTGTGCAAAAAATGGAAAAATATCCTCGGGTGAGGATAAAAAAAATAAAAAAAAACTCACAGCATTAAGTTTAAATATAATATTTATACCAATACCAGAATTTATTACAAATTTACATTCCTGGCCTTAATGGAGGCAAAAATCAATAATAATTTTTATTTTATTTATTTATTTTATCATTTTGTTAAACTGCATTTATTTGCATGTGAGGGTGTATACAATTCTGTGCAACTTTATCCCATACATAGATTCATGTAACCATCATCTCAATCAAGATACCAAACTATTCCATCACCACAAAATACCTCTTTGTATTTACTTTTCCCTCTGATCCCCACACTGTCCCTGACTCTGGCAACCACTCATCTGTTCTCCATCTCTTTAGTTCTGTCATTTTGAGAACGTTGTATAAGCAGAATCGTATAGTATACAAACTTTTGAGATTGAGATTTTCCTTAATTATGGTAAAATACACATAAAATTTATCATCTTAACCATTTTTTTTTTTTTTTTTTATCCTCACCCGAGGACATTTTTTTTTTTTTTTTCATTTTTTGTTCAGGTAGAGTGGGAGGGAGAGAGAGGAAGGGAGAGAGAGAGAGAAACATCGATGTGAAAGGGACACATCGAGTGGCTGCCACCCGCACAACCGACCAGGGCCGGGGACAAACTGCAACCGAGGTACACGCCCTTAGCGGGAACCGAACCCGGGGTCTCTCAGGACCGCAGGCCGACGCTCTAACCGCTGAGCCAAACCGGCCAGGGCAATCTTAACCATTTTTAACTGTACAGTTTTAAATATATTCACAATGTTGTGGAACCAATCTCTAGAATTTTTTCATCTTGTAAAACTGAATCTCTATACCTATTAAACAACAACTTCCTATTTCCCCATCCTTCCAGCCCCTGGCAACCACCATTTTACTTTATCTGAATGTGACTACTCTAAATACTGCATATAAATGGAATCATACAGTATTAGTCTTTTCATAACTGGCTTATTTCACTTAGCATAATGTCGTCAAGATTCATGCATGTTGTAACATATGCCAGAATTTCCTTCCTCTTTAAGGCTGAATAATATTCATTTACACACACACACACACACACACACACACACACACACACACACCACATTTTGTCTATCCATTGATCTACTGATCAACATCTGGGTTGCTTCCACATCTTGGGTATTGTGAATAATGCTGCTATGAATATGGGTGAACAAATATCTCTTCGAGACCCTGTTTTCAATTCTTTTGGATGTATATCCAGAAATGGAACTGTTGGATCATATGGTAATTCTATTTTAAATTTTTTGAGGAATGAAACTGACTTTTTTCCATCAGAACAATTCTTTTGAGATTCATCCAAGTTGTTGTAAGGATAGTTCATTTCTTTTCATTGTTGAGTAGCATTTCACTGTATGAATTTGTTGAAAAGACTATTCTTCCTCCATTGAATTGCTTTTGCACTTTTGTTAAAAGTCAATTGGTATATTTGTGAAGATCAATTTATGGGTTCTCTATTCTGTTCCATCAATCGGTCTTTTCTGTTCCTCTGCGAATACCACACTGTCTTGATCAAGGAAGTTCTATATAAGACTTACTAGTAGGTAGAATGATTCTTCCCAATTTCTTTTTCTTTTTTTTTTAACATTGTTTTAGCTATTCTAGCTCCATTCATTCTGCTCATTTTACTTTATTCATTGCTTATCCTTGCTTTTACGGTCCTGTCTACACCTTGTAGAGATATGATGGCCTGGCTGTGGTAAGCAGAGGGTGCTGAGTCCTCACCAGCTTTCACACCTGCATAGCGATGTTGCTGAGCTTGTGGCTCTCAGTAGGCAGCGGAGGCTCATGAAGGATGTAGGATAGCTCACGATCTTCTCCGCTTCTGATACCACTTAGTTCCAGTAGGCCGGACACTTGGAAGGCTAACCACGCCGGGAGTGGTGCCGAGGAACAGGGACCACCCCAGGCGACGTGG